TTTGCATCTTTCTTCCTTCATCTCCATCTGTGCTCATGGGAAACTGAGTTCCTTGCACTCACTTCAACTTCCTTTTCTCTCTTTTGTGGTTCCTTTATGTCTTCTCTGGTCTCTTTTATCACTGTATTCCTTCTGGGAACATTTTGTGAGATCTTTGCTCGCTCTTTATTGTTTTGTGTTCTATTTACCACCTTTTATAACAGCTTTATAATTTGTAACAATGGATTGATGTGTTTACAAGCTAGTTATAAGTCATTTATAAGAACAACTTTTGGGCTTCTAGGTTGTGAAAAACATCTCTTTGGTTGGTGTGTATTGTCCTTGAGCATGCCACTTAATTTTAGCATATAGCTTGCTCTTCATCAAGAAAATCATTCCCAATGGACCAGTTACCAAAATCCCTTTTTTAAAGGGATAGTTTTAAATTTTGGGGAAATACATTTATTTGGTTTAAAACAGATGAACAGATGAATATGTTGATACCACTATCATATCTGTCTGTTGCATATGAAGCTGCAGCCATCAGCTGGTTAGTTTAGTTATGTTATAGCGACTCACTTTTTCTTAACATTTACAGCAACAGATTTGATGGATCATTATTTAAAAAAAGCTTTATTTATGACTAACTACAATTTATAATATTAGAGCTGATGGCTTATTACACAGTAAGAAAGCAATTAATGGATTATTACTACCATCACTGCCAAGTCAGAGTCGTTGTCATTATTTGATCTCTGAGCATTCTTAAAAGATGTATCAACCATTAAAAAAACTATTAGTTGCAACTTACAAACCCTTTAGATATTAGATAAGATTGTGTTGTGTTTCGTCTTCTGAGATTTGTGTTCCCTCTTGTGTTTCTCTGTGTGACTCCAGGTGAATGAGATCTACCATGACCAGTCTTTGGGAGCAAAGATCAATGTGGTGCTGGTGCGGATTATCATGCTTGGCTACGGCAAGGTAAGACCTGACAAGACACGAGTTCTACTGAAAAGTCGACTGAGACAATCGCTTTAAGTACCTACAGTAAGAACAGCCAAGTCGTGTAAACACACACTCATAAACAAACACACAGACACATACACGTGTGCACACATCAGCACGCACTGATGCCCCAAGCCTGTTATTCCAGTGGACTGAGCAAAAGAGGAACTAAAAGCATGCAGCATCCCAGGGGAGTGTTTCCAAGTCGCACGCCTTCACAGTTCAGCACCAAAGCACACAGAAACTCTGCCCGTTATGCAATCAGCCTTCCTCCCAGTAGGCTGCAGCACAGAATCATGGGAAGTCCAGGCAAAGATAAACAATCAATGATAGCCCTCCCTCATTCATAAACAGAGAGACCGGACGATGGGTAGCATCCTTTTCTTCTGGACTGTAACTCTATCTGCCTGTCATTGCTGAAGGGAGGAAGAGAGGAAGAGTGGAAGAGAGGGAAAAAGACAGATAAAGCAAGAGAGGGCAGGGATTACCCAACAAATGATTTTATTGCTTGATAGGTGCTCTGTGATACACTTATGCTGCTGTAGCCTTATCTCTTCCTCTCCTCTCTACAGTCCCAGTGGAGCCTTGGAAACACACGCTACCACTCCCATACACACACTCGCTCTCTCTCTCACACACACACACACACACACACTCACACACTCCTACATTGGTCATTCTGGACCAGCCCCTATGCAGCTTCGGCCAAAACTCCGGCTGTCCATCATCCCCAATTACCGTGGCAACAGAGCTGCACCCAGACAGCCTGCAGATTGGCTATGTGACCCTGAATGCAGGCGCACCCACACACACACACTTCACACACAC